TATGTAGCAAGACAAGGTTCCCTGTACCAAGACAATGAAGATGTAGCATGGTCCTTCACCTCCAGCTCCCCCGACTTCCGGCCACCACTGACCAGTATTCCGGCTCTTTGTCAAAAAAACTTTTCTTAAAACTTTGAAACCCTTTTGGGGCCCCAGGAAATTGTGAAGGGCGTACCCAGGAAATTGTGAAAGAGCGCCACGTACCTGCTGCCCATTTATTCTCAGGTAATTGAGAGCAAAACCGAAACCAAGCCCGAAAGTGTGCAGTCAGGCTTTCCCCAATTCTCTGCCTGATCAGACTCCTCTCCAGGCAGTTTAATTCTGGCGTCTGGACTTCAGGCCCATCACCCCTTCACATCCAGAAATCACGCCAATTGCCTCGCACAGGCGGATGACTGCACATCGTGTTGGGCCTTGTTTAGTCCTAGTCTTGGCTCACAAGCTGAACCATTTCTAGGAGCCCAGTAAAAGGCAAAGAGTGGTCCAATAAAGTGAGCCGTGCTAGGGCACCCTGGCAAATCGTTATTATGTTATTTTGCAGAACTGCGCACTGGGCCCAGCGCCTCCTAATGCCACAGGGAGCAAATGACTGACCTGGGGAGGATGACCTCCAAATGATGCAGGGCAAAAATGAAACTCCCGACCTGAAAAGTACTGGGGACAAGTTTGCATTCTGTAACACTGAAGAATGAATCTTAGGAACAAACGGAGGTTATGAGCGGAATATATTTATTGAGAGAAAGAAAGCTCCAGTCCGAGAGAGGGACAGGAGGGGGACCCGAGCAGGTGGTCCGCTGGAAGCTGTCTCTTCCAGGGACTTTTATAGATGAAAACCACGCAGTGAGGCGGGTCTAAGGTGGTGGAGAAGACATGGGAACTCGCTTAGGTGGGCATGCGGTGGGACAAAGCTATGGCCAACCAATGGGATTACAAGCACCATTGTTCAGGTAACATCGATTAAATCCAGGACCAAATGGGGAAGCTAATCACATGGCAAGCGGGCATGAATACCAGGACAGGGTCTCTTCCTGTTGGGGTTGGGCTAGTGACTCACTTGGCTCTTTCAAGGTGATTGATACCAACTTGGAATATCAATCCCTGATGTCCGTCCCTAGGGAAGTATGTAGCTGCGTTTGTTTCTTCTTTTGTCTTGAGGTGTGGCCCATATGGGGGTGTATGTCTCTTCCAAGTTGCAAAGTCACCTTGTTTTCCATCTTGTCTCCTTGAGGGCCTGGCCCTGTCTGCCTAGAATATTTCTAATTCAGCTGCCTACAACAGTACAACATCCCCGCCGCCTCTTTTTATTTCTTAATTTCAGCCAGGGACTTGCTAGATCGCCAAGTTGCCCAGCCTGGACTCCGACTTGCAAACCTCCTGCCTCAGCCTCCCAGCATACTGAGATTACAGGCGGGGCTCTGCAGGGCCAGCCTTAACTAACCAAAGTTGCAAACTCTGTTTCTAAGGAAAAGAGCTGCGTCTGCGGGGAGGCCGAGGTGGGCGTGGCCTGCTGCACCAGGGGCGGGCCGAGCGCCGGCCCCGCCCAGCACACCGTGACGCCATCCGCCTGCGCGAGGCGAGCGGCGCAGTGCGCATGCTCAGCGGGGCCGGCGGCCTCTGCCGTCGCCGCGGTCCCAATGCCCCTCGGTCTCGCGTCCCCGCGGCCTCGCTCCGCCCCTTCCCCGTCGCTCCGCCCGCGGCTGGCTGCGGTCGGCGAGCAGAGCGCGGTGAGTACTGCTCCCGCGCGGGGAGGGCGGAGCGTGTCGCGTCCTGGCCTGGGCGGGTGGGCCGAGTGGCGGCGGCCGAGCCTCTCCCGGCCTGGCGGTGGCCGCGGCCCGGCGGGGTGGCGCCGCCCCGGAGCGGGGGGCTCCCGGGTGGTCAGCTTTATGCTTATCGGGCTCTTCCCGAGGCAGGTTTCTCTCTGCGGGCAGGCTGCCCCCACCTCGCAGCGACCTCCTTTCTTAAAATATTACTGTGGACGAGATACCACTTGAGTTGTACAAACTTTTTAGAGCCGACAGCGCGCGTTGCAGCCCGCCTTCTGCGCGGGCGCCCCTGCGTGTGCGGGCCGCGCGTTCCTTTGGCGCCCTCTCCTCCCTCGCCGCCTCTCCGGGTCGAAGACCCATTTGCCACAGATGTGTCTCGCGTTTCCTGTTACCTTTTGTTTTGCTTTTTGTTTATGCCTCGGGTGTGTCATGCAAGAGAAGCATTTAAGTTTGTGTGTTGGATTTATTTCACTTTATGTTTTATGGTCCCAAGGACTATTTTGTGTTTTACTTTTTATTTTATTTTATTTATTTTTTTTTTTGCGGAACCGGGGATTGAACTCAGATCCTTGAGTTTGCCAGTCAAGCGATTATCCTATTGAGCCATCTCCCCGGCCCCATTGTGTTTTATTTTTTAACGTGTATAATACAGGGGCTCACTCTGCAGCTCGGACGCGTAGTGATCCTGTGTGTCAGCTTCCCCAGGGTGGGGTTACAGGTGTGGTGAATCCCGTCAGCGCGTGCCTACGCAGCCGCTTAGTGCGCCGAGCTATCCCCCTGGACCCCGTTTTGTATCTTAACACCCCATCTTAGCCCCTTGGGTCGCCAGGCCTTCGGAGCGACTGATACTGTGGCATTTTATTCTTTCCTCAGTGTTTGTACTCAGTTCTTCAAGTGCGTTGGAGCACAGTTGAGTATTTGCCTCTCCTTCGTGCTTGGTTGACTTGGCTATTACTTGTAACCTGCTGGGTCTCCACTCCGTGCCTCCGAGGACAGTCCCTCCCTGCTGCTCTCAGAGGACCACGCGTCCGCAAGTGGATAGAAACACTACAAAACGAAAACGCTACAAAGTGAAAGCCTTAGCTGGAAAATACAACTTGAGCACTGAGAAATTCAGACCCGAATTTTGAACAGTACAGAGTGTAGAAGTTGTTCTTTGGGGGGAGGGGGGGCGGTGCTATTGGGCATTGAACTCAGGGCCTGGGCACTGAGCTATGTCCCCAACCATCTTACTATTTTACTCCACTGCACTGAGGACTGAACTCAAGGCCTTCGCATTGAGTGGCACCCCAAGCCTCTTTATTATTTCTAACTTATTATTTTTTAGACAGGGTCTCACTAGCCCAGGCTGGCCTTGAACTAATGACAGTCCTCTTGCCTCAACGTTCTAAATGCTGGGATTACAGGGGTGTAGCACACCTAGTTTATTTCAGTTTGAGACAGGCTCTTGCTAATTGCCCACGGTGGTCTTGACTTTGATCCCCCTGGCCCAGCTTCCTGCAATGCTGCAACACCCATCTAAAATTGTCCCTGATATTTTAATTGAGGGGACTAGAGGAAATAGTTTTAAACCGGGTTCCCTTGGGTATGGACTAGGACTATTCCCTTATCCCCTGCTTCTTGTCTGCCACCTGCTTCTGGTCCTTCTGTTTTATTGAGACTAAATGATCAGCTCTTGCTATGCAACCGGACAATTAATGTTGGGAATAATGGTTTTATGACAATTATTTCTCGATAGCAGTCCTAATGCTAAGTAACCCTGAGGAGACACGGGAAAAGTTACTCACAGTGGACTTGTATCTTTATTTAGTATCTTTGAAGCCCCCAGAAGTGTTTGAAGCCTTCTTGACTGCTGACCAAGAACTGTAACGTGAACAAAGAGCTGTAGACTTTCGGTGATGAGCTGTTGAAATTTGAGTCTTCCGGGCCCGTGCAGACTGGGTCTTGCACAACTGGGAAGTGGAGAAAGGGTCAGTAAGGCACCAGCAGGGATCCTGCCTCCGGAGAGGCTGTGAGAAGCCCACAGGAGCAGGGCCTCTTGCAGCGGGCCTGGGACCCAGCCTTGAAGCTTCTTGTGGCGTTGGTGCAGGAGATCCAACAGCAGGGCTTACTCAGAGGAGTTTAGTATTTGAGTCACTGTTTTTCGTGGTAACTTTCCAAGAAAACCCTTTTATCAGCCCTTCTGAGTTCAGTGGTTGGTGATAGTTTCATTGTCCACTTTATTATCTACCTATCTCTCATCTATAGTATCCTTTCTGGGGATTGAACCTAGGGCTTTCACACTGAGCTACGCCTCCAGCCCATTTTTTCTATATTTTGTTTTGAGACAGGGTCTATTTCAGTTACCCCGGCTGGGCTTGAACTCAGGTTCTTGCTGCCTCCATCTCCCAGAGCGCGGGATTTTGCGACCTGGCATTGTTGCCGACTGCCTTCAGTGGACTCACATTTGACTGTTAAGAGCATTTGCAAGTGGCTTGCTTCTGCTCTGCAGATTTTCCCACACCCCTCAGTCTCTCTGGGCGAGCTCTGCGTGGCTGATCTGTGGTTGTCCACCTCAGGTCACTGCTGCCCAGCCCCCTTCTGTCCCATCTTTCAGGGATTAGTTGGGATTGGTGCTGTAGGGCTGCGTCTGGTGTTGTCTGTGGAGTGGACAGAGTCGCATGCCGCCCCAGGCCCCAGGGGATTGCAGCAGCACTGGAGCCTGACCAGGTGCTGTTTCTGTCATTTCAGTCCATACAGTGCTGTGGCAGTTGTTCAGTTTATTACTGATTTTACTGTCTTATTTTTTAATTTTTCATTTTAAAGCTTTTACATATTTGGTTAAAAACTGTGGGAAGCAAAGACTATGAAATATATAGAAGTTTCTTAAAACTCTGTGTCCTATCTTACTATCTAGTTTTCGACATATTTTATCTGTTGCTTATAATTTTACAATTTTTTATTTTAAAGAGATAAAAAAATAAGCCATAAAAGCAATAAAGAATTTTAAAACAAGATGACAGGAAATTAACAATGGTTGTTGTGCTGCCTATTGTATCTCCAGAGTAGTTGTTCGGATTACCAGATGCCAGCCTACAAAATTGATCAAATAATATTTACTGTTCCTTTCAATAAACCCATAGAAGTTAGTATAATTTTGTGTTTATACCTTGTTTTGTTCCAAATGTATTTGAGGCATCTTAATACATTTTAATAACATACAAAACAAAGAAAAATCAGGGTCATGAAAATAAGTCTTTCCACCATGAACTTAATCATTATATACTGCAAATGTGTATAATAATTTTTTTTGGTGGGCCAGCTTAGCCTGCCCTGGGGACAGCGCTGGTGTGGTACATGGTGCTGGGGATCAAACTGGGGTCCCCTGTGCCTGCCCAAGCTTGCCTAAGCAGGTGCTTTAGACCCTGAGCTATCTCGCTGGCCCCATCTTTTTCTGAAAATGAAACTTGAAGGATGAGGTTAGAAGAGGCACACTGGAGTATGATCTATAAAAGTTTTATAGTCTCCTTTTCATACAGTTGCTAGCAGTAGGGCGCAAGCTCAGCATGTTGCGGGCCTGCAAGCCCAGCGCTTGGGTGGCACAGGCAGGAGTGCTGCAAGTTCCAGGCCAGCCTGGGCGACAGTGCATTCAAGGCTAGTCTAAACTGCATAGTGAGATCCTGTCTCAACAAATCAAACCAAGCATATGAAACAAAAATCCCCGAAGTAGGCGGCGGACTAAATTCCGAGCTTCATGGTGGTGTGCTCTGCAAAGGAACCGGTCTGCACTGGCTTCCTGAGTTAAAGTAGCCAGGAACCCACCCCTACCTGCGGGCGGGACTAGCACCCAGCACCACAGACTCAGCAGAGGTGGGCGCGGCCCCGGAAGCTGGGCCAAAGCTCCAGGACTTCCCGCTGGGCCCAGCGCCCTCCTGCAGCTGGTCGGATGTCCCTGTCCCCTTGTTCTGCCTCCGGAGGGCTGGGTTACCTATGGCCGCTTCCCTGCCCCGGAGCTGCCCGTGTGTGAATTACTGGCTGCTCAAACGAACTGCGGCTCTGCCCTGTGCTTCAGCTTGTCTGCAGACACTTGGAGGTCTCTGTCTACTGTGGGGTATGCAGGCTGTGACCAGAAATTCCACAGGGGTCCGAGAAGGCCTGGAGTCGAGACCGCGGTCCTTGGTGGGCCCTGGCCCCATCACAGGTTCAGCAGGATCCCTGCCTGCTGGGAGCCTGCCTGGCACGCACAGGCCACAGTGACTGGTCCCTGAGTGCCGAGTGCCAGAGGGGCATTAAGAGTCCGTCTCTTCCCCAGGGGCAGAGGACCCTGCTCATTTGCTTCCCCCGGGCAGGGAACCAGCAGACCTTACGGTTCCATCCATCTGAGTGCCTTTTTACAGTGCGCTGGCTTTCTAAGCCTTGTGCTCCATCTAGACTTTTGCTTGGCAGGACGCAATAGTTTTTGAAGTACCTTTGCTTCCACCTGGCAGGCCTACTCAGGTTCCACAATTCAATGCTTCAGGAATTGGATTTGCCTGGGCATGGCAGCATGGGTGACCCAGCCCTCAGGAGGCTGAGGCAGGAGGATTTGAGCTGGGCATGGCAGCATGGGTGACCCAGCCCTTAAGAGGCTGAGGCAGGAGGATTTGAGCTGGAGGCCAGTTTGGACTGCTTAGCAAGTTTAAAACCAGCTTAAGGAGAGGAGTTAAAGGAGAAGTAAAAAATTCAGATGTGTCACATCCAGGTGCCCACGCCCCATGAAGAACGTGATCATCTTGTACTGAAAAATAAGAAAGGCTGCATGTTTTTTTCGCAGGAGGACCTACATTGCGAGTCCTAGAGTGCTTGTGGTGCTGGGTGGGTAAAAGTGAGGGGGTAGAGGAAAAGAGGGGCAGTGTAAAGGGCATCTCTCCCATGACAGAGTACGTAGTGCTGCGATGGTGTGTGTTGATGCAGTAGAGACGCTGTGCTTTCTCCTCTGGGTC